TTCACTGTTTCATGTGCATAACTGTGCAGTAAACCAAATGCAGTGAAGAGGACTGCACAAAAGACCCTGGGTCATTTTGTGCCGGCAATCTACTGTGTACACACTGAACCTGTGCATGTTTGAGTTTCATATAGAAACTACATGCTCACCAGTGACTGTGGGCATTTGTGCACATTTGTGCTGTAAAACCATAGGAGGGTCAATGTATGTGTTGCTAGAATTAGAGGTGCCCATTGAAATCAACCCTCAAAGTTTTAACCTTTTGAATCCTTCAAATTTTGTAACTCATGCCCGTTGAAACCCTATAAAGAGCTTCAGTGTGTAAGTTCATTAGTAATATGTGTTACGCTCGTTTGCAAAACTGCGGAGGAACCTTCAGGAGCAAAGCTAACTAGCACATTAAAACCTTTGACGTGATCAAGTCTGAAGCCTTTTTCTACATTTGAAATATCACATACAATCTGTATTTGACAGATTTGTGAAAGTTTTCAAGGTTAGAGTTATGTCATGAAATAAAAGGTACAAACACAGCTAAATGAAGGACATCAAAGTACTTATCACGCATAAAGATACCATGCATGTGGCACACTTGTGACACCTTACAAATTTCATGAAGACGACCAAGGATACATGCTTTGTAGATTCCAGTCTGAAATCATGACAACCGCTATGAGTAGCTTTCCTGGTTTTGCAAATCAAGAACATGAAAAATCTTTGTACAGTCGGTTTCCCAGGTAAAAAGAAAACTTTGCAAACATACCTCATTTTGGGATTTTCTTCTGCAGACTCGTAATAAAACAGCATGCTGATCTCATGTATTCCACTCTTGTCGGGTCCTCTGACATACAAGGGTAATGAAGCGCTCTCCCCTGGGGGCAAAGAGCCTCCCGGAAGGGGGATCTCAGTCACATGGCTAACGTTACACTTCTCCACCACACATTCCCCACTGCTTCCCCCTTTATCGCCGACACATGGAACAGTCCTGTACACGCCGGTTTTGGATTGGCCGGTTGGGGAAGGGGAGGTTCCAAAAGAGAAGAGTTCAGGGTGGTTGGATGCCACCAGGAGTTTCTGCAGGGGACTGAGTCCCTTGTTGGTGAATTCCACAACGGAATGGCACACCTCTCCACATAGAAGGGTTGAAGGGAATGAAGTGAAAACAGCCTGAAAGAGAAAAGCAGAGGGGGGAAAAAGTAAACACTCTGTCTCCATACAAACGTCTGTGTCAATTGTGCATTTCATCTCCGAAGGTCTTGGGTGCAAAACGACCCCTCCTCCTTGAAAAGCCCAGTTGGAGTAGGGTTCATTCGGATGCACATTCCCTGTTTAAAAAACTCCTTAACAACTTGTCCCCGGATGACGTGTAAACACACACAAGTTTCTTTATTTGTTCCACGGAGGGCGTGTACGCTCGTCTGAAAACTCTTTTTTTCCTTTCTGCAGTTGACGTATCAACACGTCGAGCTTCGTTGGGTCAAAGCGCGGAAGACAATCCCACACGTGGACGCTGCTAGCTGGAGCCCTCCCACCCACCAACAATAATCCAGAAATGCCTTGAATTGAATTAGGGAGAACACAAAAAGCTAAGGGGATTAAAGACCTTCTTTGTTTGGGTAAGCAGATTTGCTAGGGAGTGTAACTACACTTCCAAAAGAGATTAGGTGAAAAAATCCCAGCTAGCAACACCTTTGGATCAAAACAATAGGCAAAAACACACATGGCCACAGGTGACGCATATATATGCTCTGGACCTTTTGCAGGTGGACCGGTTGACGTCTGGACACGTGCCACAATGTTTACTGGGGCAGTTGAAAAACGGCTATACAGTAGAACTCAGGAGGAAAAGAATGAAAGTACTGATGCCTAATTCAAAAGTTACGCCTCTTTACATATTTCATGTGTACCACAAATAAATTGCCAGGTTGAAGAATTTGCAACAACAAAAAAACACCCACCCCTGCAGCTTTTTCAGGGAAAAAAAAAACAACATTAACTGGTTAAGAGGTGATAGCGCGATGACAGACAGGTGAATATTGCTGCTACTGAAGGCATTCTCCCAGAAAGTGCTCAGCAAGCATTTACAAAGCACTGCTAATGCAGGGCAAAGCATCCAATACAAAAACTCCCTGTAATTACCTCCAGTAACGGCATGGGTGGCACCACAACGGGGTCCAACCGTCGATCAGGTCCGTACATGATGCTACATCTCTCCACCTTGGTGGAATTGAGCCGGGGGCCCTGGATGTCTAGCTCCTGTCCACCCTGTACCGTGATGACTCCTGCACCGTGGTGGGAGCCCTTCTTGTTGGTCTTCAGGGGACTGTCTGGGTTCTCCCGGTTGCCAGAGTCATTGATGACCGTGATCTCATCTTTGGCATTGGGGTTCTGCTGGCCCGCGAGACTGTAGGCGATACCGAGAATGTGGAGTTCACCGGTCTGCTGAGGTATGACTGACAGGTGGACCTGGATGGAGGTTAATGGCATTAAATAAAATCTCATACATATTCATATGTCAGCAAACACTCGGTAGACATATCACAGCGCATACTCAATGTAGGCCCACCCATGCTCATATCCACGTTCAGTCCCGGTCGTCACATGCACATGCGCTATGGAACTATCCATTTCCAAATACAACATGGCACATTGGTTATGAATAGGCTCGTTCACAAATGGCAATATCTATGTGGTTTTTTTTCCATAATTATTGGACCATGCATACAAAAAAAGATTTAGAAAAAAAATGTTTAAATTCAAACTAAAAGACAACCTATAGAATGACGGAGTTTTGGAAGGGACAAACAGAAGTAAATAATGCCATCATTTCATTCATTTTTGTTCCTGACGTGCCTACCTTGTTCCCATTTATAGGAGCTTGCCACGCTATGAAGGTTCAAGGGAACACGCACACTGCCCATGGAGTCAAGGTTGGTGTCTGTATCAATTGGCTGCGGCTTAAAATTACACACGAATCTACAGGTATGGTTGTGGCTGCACCCACTTTGCATACAGTTATGCGTAATTGAAACCGCAGCCAAGCAATTGGGGCACAACCAGTGCGTACACGAGTACAAGTGAACGTCTTAGACAATCCGCGGAAATTTGCGAGACTATTTTCAGATTTTATTTTCTCCCAAAAAATCAGAAAATCAGAATGTTCTGATTTTTAAGCCTTTAAAGCTCAAAAATCGGAACAGTTTCGATTAAATCAGAAAAGTTGGCAGGTCTGCTAAAAATGCACAAGCCCTCTGCATGGTCAGGACACTGGACTATTGACTAATCAATCTTTTTTATTCAAACGGATGAATTCTAGCCGACTCTTATTTGATAAAAACTGGCTCCATTCCCCGAGATAAGAGATCAGTCAGTTTAAAATCTGAATTGAGTTCTTATGCCTGGCTGGAGAAATAACTGGATTTCATCTTATTTTGTGAAAATTGTTTGAAGAATTTGTTTGGCAAAAGGGTAAGTAGGGTCGGCATGATAACTTTTTTCCAGCAATCAAGACCTCAGTCTGAGTTCTACTGCTAGGTTACTTAGGAAACATGTAAAGAGATTGATGCCACCATGTGGAACAGTTTGAGATTACATGGCAGCAAACCTGTTACAGAGAGCACAAGATCATGCCCAGAGGCCCATCTCTAAACAGAGTGGACCACCTCAGTTACACGTGGGAAAAGACTGCACAGAAACCGTGATGTTAGCAACAGCTTGTGTGCTTCACAAGCTGGCACTTACAGGTTTGTACTCGCTGCCGGCTAGCAAAACTTCTGGAATGACCTCTGTGCTGACAACCTCTTCCGGTTGATTCTGCTGTTGAAATAAACAAAGTTTTTGAAGAGAAAACCAGTAAAAAGAGAAATTCAGGATAACTGTGGCAAACAGTTTACCAGCTGGATAAGACTTGACGCTCTGCATGGTGGAGAGCAGACTGAAGAGAGGGCCTGCGTTAACACCATGTGGATAGATCTTTTTGGAGAGTGTGTGCTCTGGTTATCCTCGGGAGTGGTCAAAACATTGAGTACACACTCAACGGTTCTTATCGGAACCATGCCTCTTCCAAAAAGAGATCTATCCACATGGTGCTACCGCGAGCCATCTCTTTAGTTTACCAGCTTCTAATCGGTAGACCAATTCAAGGATGAAAATTGGAAGCCATTACTTCGGGGGCCAACCTGTTGACAGGCTGGTGGTATGCATGTGTGTCATTCCACTGGGACCAACAGGGTACTGCGACTGACCACATTGCATGAACACGCTCACCGTAAGGACCCATGTGTGAGTGTCTTGGTCCTGCAGTTCTACCATCTCCTAGGATTAGTTTGTACAGTCTTTCTTGATCATGTTCTCAAGCTAGTTCTGTAACACTTTTGTTTTCGTATCCTTCACCAACTTGGCTTGATGGTACTACTGTCGGCTTTCATATCTGAGGCTTGGGTTTGAATCCCACCCAGGCTAACGTGTGAATTGGGTTTTCAGACGCTCTCTGAATTTTAAGCGTTTGCCTTGGAATTCTCATCCGGGGGCTTCCTGCCACCTCCAAAATGACGTATTTTGTCATTTTCTTCTCTTCTACCTAGGCTTCTTCAGGAGCGAGACCAACTGTGCGGTGGGCGCAAATGCAGAATTATTGGTTTCGCAGCCACAAGGAAATAAAACATTAAGACCAGTATGGGATGTGGTTTTGATATGTTGGACTTTGATTGGATGTCCGAACCTTTCCAGTCAATATGTCGGTCTCATTGGACAGGACCGTCGGCTGCTGCTCGGGGTTCTCTTTGTTGACATGCTCATAGCTGACGGGAGTGAACTTCCATCTCAAGGTCAAGTTGGATATCGTCAGGGGTACCTTCAGCGGATTCTCCATGACCAGCTCCACGGTGACTGGCTCTGAGAGATCATGCGAGGAAATGAGTAGCTTGTTCATTTGGAGGGCTGTAACGTATTTCAAATTGATGCCATTTGTCATGAGTTATGGGCTGGGGTCTAGGTCTGCCTCGGACACGCCTTCAGAATTGAAAACCTTGTCTGTAGAACCATATGATAAATCATTCAAACATGTCATACCACACAAAGACAAATGCAATTGGAAGCCTTAATAACACTCAGCAGCACAAGAAAACTTTTCAGTTAAACCACGCATCTCTAGCAAAAGTAAAATTACCAAGTTCTGGTGCAAAACACTGTCATTCACTTTGGATATAAACTTTTTACCAAATGTGGTAACTCCTTTCAGCACACTGTACTATGACCTGCTCCTACTTTGACAGTGCTGTAATCCAGAACACTCCTATGAGTATCAGTACTTGGTAATTTATTCATTTTGAGTTTGAGTACATTTTCATGAGTATGAGTACCAAAAAATTACTCAACTATGATGAGTTCAAGTACAGCAATACGGTACTGTGAACCCCACAACACAGAAATTTGCTCAACTTATGAACGTAAAATATGCTTGGCAAAAAGTACTGATTACAGACTGCGGTTTTCAACTGATTCCCGGCTAAGCAGTTCCATCAACTTAGGTGTCTCTGACAAGCCAATCGTTTCTCCTCACCTCCAACAACCACAAGGGGACTTGTGCTGTTGTCCGTCTTCGCGTGAAGCAGCTGCAAGTTTGGCCGGAATCCAGCCGGCAGTGTGTACTGGCCGCTGGCCACCATGATGGCCATCTCCTCTAGATTCTGCCATTCCTCGCACTCGGCTGGGTCAAAGATCCGGTCAAAGGTCACCGAAGTTGCATACATCTGCGTGTCTGCAATCAGCGATACAAAGGAATGTATAGACATTAGTCATTAGAGTTGCTCACTCACCACCCGATGGAAGTTTATGCTGCAATATCCACAGCGACTTCTCGAGTGTGTAATCCCATCTCAACGTCAACTCACATCCAGGGTGAGGGCGGAAGGGGGTTCGTAGCGACAGATGTTAGGACATGAACTTACATATAGGCACATCCAGGGTTTATACACCTGCAAAGTGTCTGCCAGATAGGACAGTGATTGGCAAACTGTAATGTCTCTGTCACTGTTGAGATGGTTATCAAGCAAAAAGTCCATACATGAGTTACTGCATGAAGCTTCCCACTAGTGAAGTATCATCTGTCCAAGGGCGGATCCAGAATCAATTCTTTTTTTTGGGGGGGGGCACAAAATTTGGGGGAGGGCCAAAAAATTGGGGCATTTCTTTAAGTAACTTTTATGACCTTATGAGGGGTGAGGGTAGACTTGGGGGCAAATATTGGGGGCACATATTGGGGGCACATATTGGGAGCACATATTGGGGGCAGATATTGGCAGCACATATTGGGAGCACATTTTTTGCACATATTGGGAGGGAACAAGAATGAAATAATATGAATTACTGCATTTCTTTTGACATGAAGAAATTGTCCACACTCTGAATCTACAACCGTTCACATTGGCAAGGGGCAAATTCCTGCCCAGTTCCATCAGAGGCACGATTTAAAAGTAGCACACTTGTCCAGGTGACAGATTCCAGTTGGTGAGATGCCAGCCTCTTACCTGGGAGCTGTGGCCTACGTGGGCTGGTCAGCAGCACCCTGGTAGCAGGCTTGTTGATGACGGGGAGGGGGAGCTGTGGCAACGTGGCCTGGGGACTGCCCTCCTGAGACTGCGTGGTCAGCAGTTGCTGGGGAAGGAAGCAATAGTGTTTACATCAGCATGTGTTTTTGAACAGGTGGCATCAACTCACCATGAGCAAAAGCACATCAACTGTATGATTATAATTAGAAATATTAATACATGCAATATTATGACGAGAAAGTTTCAATGTAAGCCTGATGGTCATAGAGAGGCAATTTAAGACCACAGAAAAATGCAGATTTCATCAAGCTCCAGCATAACCATGTAATTAATGAATTTCAAAATGATCACTGTAGAAAGTAATTTCAGACCACAGAGAAATGCAGATTTCATCAAGCTACAGCATAACCATGCAATTATTGAATTTAAAAATGATCATTGTAGAAGGTAACTTTTGTGGGGCTGTACAAATATATTGTTATCCCTCAGCTTGATAAATCCACAAGGCAACACCTTATCCGCCAAGTGTGGGAACTAGACAGGGTGTGTTTTTTTGACATTGAAACAGAGGTCCTCTGGTGGGAACTCCTCACATAGGCACATGGGTTTATGCACATTCGCTGCGAGGCGCGCCAAGTACGCGCAACCAATTGACGTCGGAATGCATGGTCACGTGTGTGCGCTGGAATGCGTCCTACCAAGCCTGTCTCTTCTTGGGCTGATGAGGGTGTACTTTAGCTCAGGATGGATACAAAGGAAAATCAAACTAACGTCAATGTGTCAATTTCACGACTTCAAGACTAGTCCCATAAAGTTTTTGACAGGCATACGAAAGCCATATTCCAAAACACAAAGCCACAAATTCATCCCTTCCCCAGATTTTTCCAAATTAAGAACTCACACATTTGCATCATCTGATAAAGGGACAAAAGCCGGGCAGTGCCCAGACTCACTTTGAACACAAAGAGATACTCCTTGAAGAAAGCACCCTGCTGGGCAGCTGGCTGCCTGCTCTGGTAGGTCAAGAGATGCTTGAAGGATGCCGTAGAATTCTCCAGCTGCTTCAGATTAAAGGACTGCCGACCAATCGTGAAGTTGATATGGTCCTGGGAAAGCACAGATATGAATAGGATAATGGGATTTTTCATGGCATGTTATTACCACACACTGATGTTCTTATAATCATGCGATCTCATTACCCCAAATCTGGGACAGGAGAATCTACTGTAGTCATCTGCAATGGATTTCCATCTAAAAACTAACTTTTAACTATCAGCATCTTAAAATTATTTGGCATTCATAAATACCTCGGACAGTTTACCAATTTCTATTGGTTTGGAGCCTGTCAAGCAGGTGGTATTTAACAGAGGATTAAAAGCAACAACAGGCCTTAAACATTTTCCCGGTTTCACATGCAACATGTACTCTCAGTTTATGGGTTCAAACTCTCATGCATGACAATCATCGTCACGTACACATACGAAATGCAATCAATGAGTCCGCATTTCATAGAATCGGAATTTCACTCCACACCGGCTCAGCTGCGTTCTGTGCCACGTCGTGCAGCACGTGTCATGTGCCACTTTCCCACAAAGATTTTAGTATCAAGGCACGTGCCACAGATATGATCAGAGGCATGTCGCACAAAACACGGAGTAAAATTGATGAACAAAATCAAAAGTCAACTGTATTCACTACTTACCTTTCTCTTTCAAGAAAGTATTTAGGAAAGGGAGTAGAAGTGTGAAGGTTGGTTTTAAACGCAAGGGGCCCGGAAGGTAGCTGAGGACCTTGCCTTAAGCTTGGCCTCTTTGCCCCCAAGCAGACCCAATCCAGTTTCAACACACTTTTAAGCACACACCAAACTTTTATTCCCTTATTATACATGGCTCGGTGGCACAGCAAGTAAAACAATGCTGCTGCCTTAACCCTAACAGTCCCGAATACTACAAAGTACTACTTAGTAGTAGAATGTAGTACTCAGCCCTGTCACTTGTAAGCGGACATGACATTATTATTCTCTGAAGCCATAAAATACAATAGAGAAGACAATGTACCATACAATGCTGTGGCACTATGAATGCATGGTTTCATTGTTCTCTGTACGAGTAACAATGGAATAAACCTAGCCAGAACTAGCAATTTGTAGTGCTAGGTCCTTCAGGCTCAGAGTGTTACGTAGTATTTTGTAGTACTGAGTACTCTAAGCCAAACAATGCCCCGTACTGTTAGGGTTAAAGGTTAAAGGTAAAAGGTAAAAGAGAGAGTTTGCCAAAATACCTCTGCAAGGGTCCATCCTTTTCCTTTGTACACCTGCAGCGCTTGCCAGTAGGCTCTCAAGGCATGTTTTCTCTGGGTCGTGAAAAATGCATTAGGTTGCGACAAGATTGGAACACAAGTACACAGATTGAAATCAAAATCTGGAGACCCACACTTTGCTGGAGACTTTACAGGTAAGAATCTCAATGACAGTCACACATATCTTACAATCAGCCAATTAGCACAAAATTTCCAAGATCTTTTGAAAATGTAACATAAGGTAGATTCACTTTACATGGGACTTGGGGACCCTTGAAAGTTTTAAGTATGAGGAAAGTGCCTTGGTGTGCTGCACATTTTGAATTTTGTAAAATTCAAGCAAGAAAGGGTGTCCACAAAGTTAAAGTTAAAAGTTGAAAAATTTAAAAATAGTAAAGATAAACTGCATCACCCATGATAACATCGATCACAACACTTCTTAGGAAAAGCAGCCAAAGTTTACCTAACTATTCCCCTAAACAATCAAATTTCTGTACTAAACACTTTTAAACAATGTTTCATATACACCAGAAATGTCTATGCACCTGAATAAAATCTAAAAACATGAAATGGTACATCAAATACCTGTCCAGCCTTGCTGTATCTGTGACCTGCTAGGATCATGTGGAATGCATACTTGCGGACCATTGGCTGGCGCATGTTAATGAAGCAGTGAGCGGCCTGTTCTAGGAAGATAGCGCTGCGTATGTCGGAGTCCTAGTGCAGTTCCGGGGGGGGGTTTAGAATGAAAATAACTTGGTTAATATAAATAAACTGCATAGAATGCTGCATGATCTACTGGCAAAGGCCTGGTGCCGTTGGTTCACATCAGACTGAAGTGCTAGATGCAAATAGCAGCCACTGTAGGCAATTGATTTTCAACAGAATGTACACAAATCCCTTTTTATGCATTACAATTTCATTGACAATTTAGTGCACATTACTGCATGGCTGAAATGGATCTATTCACACAGTACTGTTTGTTCTTCACCTGATGAGAGAATAACTACATGTGTATGCAAGAAAAGCCAACATTAAGAGCAGGGTTTGGACTTTTTTGTGCAGCTTCTGACAGAATGATGTAAATTTTTCTAACCATCAGCTCTACAGATAGACATTTGGACTAATTATACCGACAACTGGGGAGATATGTAATGACAGCAGTTCAAAGGTCACTAAAGCAGCAACTACACACTGACAAGATGGCACTTGTACGGAACTTTAAACAATGGAATCAGTCATTTACGACAGCAATCCAAGCAGTGATGTTGAATCAACCACTTAACCAACCAAGGCTTAATCCTTCAGCTCCTTACATGTAACTTAAAAACCACTTAACAAAAATTGTTTACTGACATATGTTCAGCTAAAAAACACAGCAAGACGGTGATACTCTTGTTGATTGTAAACTTGAAAAAAAGGGTCTTTCTGTGGGGATCTCTCAGTGGGGCAGTGTCTTGTGAATCACCCCTATTGCTGGTTAGTTTGTTTACCTCTCCCGTCATCCTAATGAATTCCATGGCAGCCTCAGCATACATGCCTCTCGCTTTCAGAATCTCGGTGCTCATCAAGACTGCCCGGGTGGCAAACTGTGGCCTCCTGGGGAAAATGTGATCAAAGGTTCAGAGTGAGCTCAGACAAGAGTGAAGGTAAAAAGGGTTCTGAAGAAATGTAAGTAACATCAAACCGAACAGTGCACGTGCAGTTCATATTTTTTCCAAATGCATGTTTGATAAGAATGCAAAATCAATCATGACAAGTGTGCAGGTACAATCCAATCAAACTTTTAAGAGCCGGAATGACAGTCCAAAGTAAATGACAGCAGCCTAGAGAAAAGGGAGAATTTCTCTGAAAACAAGATAAATCTTCGTGCATGCAGTAAGGGAACATGCCAAATCAGAATTGAACAGTCAAGGAGATTTAGCCAAAATTGTGAGGAAGACAGAGAATCTATACCACCGTATTAAAGAAAACTTAGCCCGGTTCCCATATGGACGTTTGTAATGCAGACGGTTTGTAAGACATCAAGACACAGACAGTGGCAGGAAAGACGCAGTGAGACATCATTCCACCCAAAAATTAAACAAAATGGCATTCAAAACTCAGAAATTTTTGCAAAAAATGCCTTTTTTTGGTAGCAATGTTGCTTCTGGAAGCCAAACTGATACTCCAGTTTGATGTACCCAATTTGTTAATGGTCAGCTATTTTGTTGACGACTGCGGCTGCATATGCTAGCAATAAGGAGAAAATGGACAAAATGAGTGGTACTAAGCGAGAGAAACATTGTTGTACTCCCGTCATGCCAGCGTGCGTGTTTGTATAGGCCCACTCAGAAACTTTATACAGACAGTCGGTAAGGTTGAACCGAGCTCAACTTTGCCAATCCGTCTGGGGCTGGTTTGCGTTTGTGGCAACACTCCCGTTTGACATGTTTCCATTTGTCTGCGTTGCAGTCTGCATCTTGATTGAGTTGCTCTCTGTGTATCTCACGTCGATATGGAAACCAGGCTTTACAAATATTGAGGAAAGAACCGAGAAAACTGAACCAAAAAGGGTAAGGTGTACGGGAAAGTGCTAGACATTTAGTGGAGTAAATACTGTGCAGTGAGTGAGTTCCTCTCCCATTGGTGACATGAACTCACTTGCAAGAGGTGAGGTAGGTATTGACTGCTGTGTCCATGTAGTGTGTCGGGTATGCCTTCTGCATACTGCCCAACATGAAGGCTGACACCGCCGCCATTTCCTGAAATCACAAAATAAATCACCGATCATCACAGGGTTTGGCAATTGAGACGGCAGCCACTGTGTGGTTCATGCACGCCTGGCACAGTGAGTTCCCTAGGGCGTGGACGTGAGGGAGGGCACTTGCGCAAAATCAACGTCGAAGGTTAAAATGCGGAAACTGCAGTTGAATCTATTTGATGTGCATTCTCTCCATCCTCAGACATTGATGTGTGATACTGGCACAACTGATGTGCTCCGAGGTCATCCTTGGGCAAGCCTTAACCACCTGCCTCTGGGGATTCTAGAACTGGGCACCTTGGGTTTGTATGCACAGCCGGGGTGCCCGAAATTGGACAAAAGAGCTGGGCCTTGTAACAAAAGACCGTACACAGAACAAAAGACCAAGCTGCTGAGATTTACCATAATTTTTCAGTTGGCATTAGTGTAGGTAATCCGTCATTGTTTTGAAACAGTATACCACTGTTTGTGGCATTCCGTGGCAACGGATTATCAGCGGGGACAAAAGTGCTCCAGCACTCCAACGATGAACGATACAGTACCACTGCACGCTAATCCGGCTGCATTTGAAAAGACACCACTGCCATTCAGCAACGCACTGGGCCAATTCCGGGAACACAGGAAATTTAAAAATAACAGAATTTGAAGCGATTTCCGGACAGAATTGTAATTTCAACAGTTCTGGGACTGAAATTGGTTACCAGCCGTCATCTATTCCTACACAGTGCATGCTTACTAATGCTCCAGCGTAGTGAGTCCATGCCTGGTCATTGCCAAAGTCTCTCTTGGCGGTGTGGTAGGAAGTGTAGGCTAGCTCATACATCTGTACCAGGAAGGCCAGGTCAGCTAAGCGTCTCATCTGAAGCTCTGGGGCTTCTCTCAGATACCTAGGGGCAAACCCAAAAAATCGGGGGGAAAATCAACGGTGGTGTAATGGTGACTAACACTAACTTTGACCACTGTGACCTGTGCACAATTGGGGTCGAAAGTGGGACACACAGGCCACAATTTTTCAAACGGTTTTTCTGCCCTGTAGTGAGTTGATTTACATCCCATAACACACAAAGTTTACTCAAATAAAAGAATGGCATACGTCATTGCTTCACTTTGCCTGTAGCAGACGCGGCACAATTAGAATAAATAGTAACAAACTGAGACACACAAAGTTAAGATTTTTTAGCAACGACTTGACAGGAAAGAGTTCTATTGAACTTGCAGTAACATATTTGTCACTTGAGAATCAAAACTACGTCCTTTTAAAATAAAAAATATTCGCTAAAAACTATTCATTTATAGGGCTCATGACTGCATGCTTTTTGTCTTTTAAAAATGTGTAACTTTTTTCCTCAAAGTAGCAACCATCTTTTATGAGCTCACAACAAAGAACTTAACATCTTTGGCCATGCACTTCACTAAACGAGCCCATCAAAATGTACCATTGTGGGTGTTTTTCAAAGTGTACCATTGTGGGTGTTTTTCATTGAAGAAAGACTCTTATGCATAAAACAAAAAAACAACTGAGAAAAATTTGCATGGCATATTGGACGGTGTCCTGTTTTTGCTAAGCAACTGTCATTTCTGCTCAGCAACGTCTACCCTAAGTAGCCCTATTGTATTGGTTAATGGGTTTAAAAGGCTTTTTTTTTTTCAATTTGACATTCCAAGTAATTTTTGAGCCGAATGTCACAATACTAATTTGAGTTGAACATTCATTAAAAAGGCATAAAATAAATGGGATGGAAAGGACTTACTTTTATCAAAGGAATTGCCAAATTTTTCACTTATCAAATCTGTCATTTACTGTTATCTAATATGATAAAATATTTGATATTTTTCCTGCAGAAGAGAAACTCAACTCCCAAGTATTTTCTTCCTCGTTTCTACACATCCAATTCCAAGGTTTATTCACAATTTCCTGAAGTGGAAGTATCCATACTAACTTCACAAGCTAAAGTATATCTGCTGTCTACATTTTGATGACTCCAAGTCCCTGTCAGAGGATTCTATCATCAAGAGCCCGACCTTCAACCTTTGACCCTCCGAGCTCACTTACTTGCCACCCATGTCACGGCCTGTGATAGCAGCCTTTTCAGCCTGCTTGTTCCCGCCGAACCACTTCTTAGTGGCACTGAAGATTGACTTGTGCAACCCTTTCCTGGCAGCGAGCTAAAAGAAATTGGGATATGAAACATTTGGCTTTGCATAAAAAGCACAATTCTTGTATTGTGTGTACCTCAGATAAAAATAACTAAACAATGTGAAGATATGGTAATATTTCTTCATTTTGCGCGTCACTTCTTGGTGCTAAATCATGTCCACATAATTGAAGCAACAAAAAACTGGGGTTGGATTCCACAAGGGAACCATGGCTTTTCGTCCTTTAGCAAGCAACTTGACTTACTTATTGGCTCAACAACTACACAAGTAACTAATTACACTCTGATTATAAATCAGGTGTTTAGTTGGGTACATGTATTTGCAGCTGTCTGTTGTCAAAGGAGAAGATTTACCGACTATGAAAAGCATTGATCATGGGTACAAGGGGAACTTGATATACTGTCTAATTTTCAATGTTGCTTACTTGAAGACCAAAACAATTACATTGTGAGACAACCAAGTTGAGTGTGATACAATCCTTCTGCCTTGGATGAACTGCATGGAAAAAAAACCCTGGCTATTTTATCACCCATCAGACCAACCTGTTCATTGAGAGTCCTGATCATCTTCTCGATGTAAGGCAGGAGGCCGCGCACCGTGAACTCATGGATGAAGATCCGCAGCCGGTCGTGGTCGCTCAGCGTCAGGCAAGCTCCATGCACGTTAGCGCCTTTGGTAGCTGGCTGCAAGGGGCCTTCTGAGTTCAGCATCTTGTTGTTGCTGTGGAGGGCTGAGTCAGTGCTGTCAAACAGGTCCAGATTTTCCTGGGAGCGCTTGGTGTCGCCTGACTGGTCCAGAGGGTGAGCGATGACCTCGTTGAGGGTGTTCTCCTGACTGGCAATGATGACGGCGTCCGGTGAGGGATCATTAGGCCCATCTGTTTGAAGGAATTCATTCACTGATGAAATGACTGACAGGTCAAATGTTGTCAAATCAGGATTGAAATTTGAGCCTTAATGAGAATGCCTAAGCATGACCTGGCTATTTTGATATAGAGGCACGACTGACAGGTCAAGATGTCCAGCATGCATTAAATCATCTCAGGCTGACGTGCTTGACATGCTAATCCCCTTTTAGTTTTGTACACACACAAAGTCTAAGAAGTCTATGGAGGCAGACAGTGTGTTAAATTTAAAGCTGAATTTAAAATGACTGCAAGACATTAGCGAGAGAAACTCCTCAAAGCTTGATTTTAAAAAATGGGTTGTGACTGTATCAGAAAAATGGTTTGGGGGAAGATTCCCAACTCTCCTGCCCTTAGGGAGAAGGCAACTTAAAAATATATTGACCAATTTCACAAGAACGTACTGATGTCAAAATAATGTAGTTGGGACCAGATGCATGCTTGGCATAGATCACGATGTCCTGACTTACCATCGGCACTGTCGGGAGTGAGAAGATTTGCATTTGTGGCTTTCTCCACTTCAAGGTTGTCAGGCCCCGCCTCCGTCACCCTGTCAGGAAAGCCCTCGTCGTCCATTGACTGAGGGATATCACTGACTGACGTTTCCTAGAAACATTTGACAGAGTGGCATTTAAGTCCTGAAATTCAAAGCCCCGCTTCAACCCCTCCTCTACCAGACCAATCAAGGTATGTTTCCAGTATTTTTTAAAACTTTGAAAAAACATATGTATGTACTTTCTGAAGCCACATTCTTCGGCTATGCCACCAGAGAATACACAGTGTTATGTACTATGTTACAGCATTAGATCTGATACTGCCACCTTGGCATGAATGCATAACAAATAATACCTTTATTGAATAAAATTAGACCATAACAGAGACACACTATTAAATATTTTTATGGGTCTTACGACTGCCTTCCAAATGGCTCTGTTACAGTATGGTTTGAACTACATCAGGAGACTCCATAATCAGTAATGTGTGAAGTGAATGTGGGGGCCAGGTTGGGGTTCTTCCCTCGCCTTTTACCTCTGTGGGCCCGGGCTCCATTCCTGGCCGTGGTCCACATGTGGATTGGGTTTTCAGTCCCTACCTGATTCCGTGGGTTTTACCCAGAATATTCCTCTGGGGGTTTTCCTCCCACCCCTAAAACTCGAACCGCTTCTCACTGTCTCCTCTCTACAGATGTGGGCCGTTTGGCGTCTGCATGAGGCGCCCTTGTAAGCCTTCAACCCCCCGCTGTAAATCTGACAGCCTCCATGGAAAGCAGTGCTATGCACTGATCAGAGCTTACCCTCATTAAAGATGATGCACATCAATAAAAACAGAATGAAATGATAAGTGTCTGGTTGGCCCTCCTCCTACAAATCCCTGTGAAATACGGGAGAATTTACACTTTTCACAGCGCAAATCTGACAGATAATTTGGAGTGTGCATAACTTAACGTCCAACCCTCCCTTCTCACACTAGCCCCCTCCCCCCCCCACCCTAAATAGACCAAAACCCATTTCTCACCATCTGCTCTGCATTCTTGTTCATGTACTGGCTCCAGGGGTCAGGCATGCCGATGCTGCTGTCGCTGTTCAGTGCCGTGGTCTCGGCAGTGTGGATGGACCGCGAGTTGATTCTCAGTAAATGGCATGCATGGGAGCCATAGGTCGCTTTCATACTCTGGTACACTGCCTCAGCCCTGTGAGCGACGAGGGGTCAACGAGTTTAACAGGAAGGACACTTTTACCATTATATCCATCCATCCATTGCTGTTGCAATTAGACATCTTGCAACCACCCACCAGTTTGAGGGTCAACCTTGTTTTATTCTACTTGTCTCATCCACATTGTACGTGATTTACAAGACATGGAGACGATAAAAAGTCACTTCAACGAGAAGCTTTCTCTAAATTAGCCTGATCATTTTCTGCACAATCAGGGTTGAAGGAAAAGGTTCTGAAGCATTCAAAACAAGAATTAAACCAGATGCAATTTTTGACATGCATTTTGTATGCTACCTTACACATTTAAAATGTAATTTTGACTTAAGGTCTTGGTCTTGGACTGTCTTAATCTCTCTGTATCGGGCTGTGTCAGTCTCAATTTTGTGGTCTTGGTTTCCAAACTTGGGGTCTTCTTCTCAGACGGTCTGGTCTCAACTGCAACACTGATCGTCATTATGTATAGTGTGACGGTCTGCCTGCATTATGCTTTGTGCACAACTACATGTAAATGTACCTTTAGTGACATGGCAGATATCTGTCGTATGTTATATTTACTTTGTAAGAATATAAGTGATGGAGACAAACTGCACATGCTTATCAATATACTGACTGAAAGTGTGTGGAAACCACATCACTGTAGAAAACAGCCAATCAAAAAAAAAACACCCCCCTGCATACTTACTTTTCCTCCTCCCCGTCTGTGTTGTCATGCACCAGCACATAGTACTTGAAGATGTTCGGGACCAACCACTTTGGGTAGGGGGATTTGGAGGTGTGCTGCAGGAAGTGTTGCTGCTGGCTCAACTTGGCAAACTGATCCATCGGGTCCGCATGGGAGGTAGACACAACCAACATGCCTGGTGATGGGGGTAAGGGTTAAGGGCTTTTTCTTCAAGAAATGAATTCAGCTTAAGGCAGACAAGATCTCACATTAGGGTTATTTACTGTACCCTGCCTGAAGCCTGGTTAAGACTTGGTATGAAACAGTGTTGTAGTCAAGACCACTTAAGACCTTCACAAGACCACACGAGACCAACACAAGACCTCCAGTCTGAATTCAAGTGACAAGTTATTCCAATAAACTGCAACAAAAGCATTCCTTTGCCACTGTTCACCGTTACTTGTTACTGGTCTTGTGTCTGGTCTTGTGTCTGGTCTTGTG